TCTATACAGTAATTATATGGAATCTGATGAGATTCTCATTAACCAACACCACCGGTTCATAACCATAATTCGCGTCTAAGTTGATCAAACCATAATTTGAAATAGCTTGCATCATATCCTTTTGGAAAAAGCTAGATTTTCATGAATATGTTTAACCAAATTTCCAAATGTAAAAGTTCTGCCATGTTTTCTATTACTACCACTACTACTACGTTCTTAAAGAGTTTTAGAGTAAAAAAATTAAATAATAATAATAAAAAAGAAAAGAAACAGGCAATCAAACAAAAACCAATGATGGATCACATCAATTTTCTTCATTTTTCTCAATTGAATGAAAGAACGTGTGATATCAAAAAATGGTTGAAGTAAACTTTTTTTATCCCTCAGAATTCCAAGCCGTTTTTACAAATCTCAATGCCACTGGAAGATATGGTCCAACGACGCTGGGCAGTCACTACACAGGTCAGGACCATGACGGACAAGTTACACTGTCCAGCGGTATTCAACAATGGACTGTGCCGTACGCTGGTGACTACAGAATAGAAGCCATCGGAGCAGCAGGAGGATACGATCCAACTCCCAACAGTGCTCAGTACCGAGGAAGAGGAGCAATTATGATCGGAACATTTCGGCTAAACAAGGGTGAAGTCATACAAATAATTGTTGGTCAAGAAGGAGGAATAAATAAGCTGAGGTGGTCCTCTGGAGGTGGTGGAGGTACATTTGTAGTGAGAGGAGCCAATGCACCTTTGATTATAGCTGGAGGCGGGGGAGGTTTACAAAGTGTTAATTCAAGACATGGAGGATGTGACGCCAGCACACAAACAACAGGGAATCCTGGATACCAATCATGGTCAGGGGGAAGCAATGGACATGGTGCACAGACGGCTGGTGATGGCGTTTCAGGTAAAAATATATTGTGATGTTTTCTTACTCTTCATGGCCTTAGCAGCAACTTAATCAGGTTGTAAGTTCCTGGTCTCTATGCAAGACTAGTGCTGATAACGTGGCAATGTCATTATCAATCTAGTTTCTGACTGAGCATGAAAAGATAGATCACAGTTTTCACTCAGTGTCCTTCTGGGCATCTTTACCTTGACATTCTTTAGAGTATCACTTCCTCTGATATTTCAACATTTTAAAAACCCAGAAGAAATTATGAAATTCTGCCTTAACCACAGAATTGAACATTATTATACATTAAATTATCAAATAGCCTGAGTTGGTATCTTGGGAGTCTTTGGACCAAATGTTATGGCAACCATGGTAAAGTTTACATGCCATATTAATTCGTTCAAAGAAGGCACGCTCGCAAAAAAAAAAAAAAAAAAAAAAGAATTAGGTTTTTTTGCTTTTCCGAAAATTCACGCGTTTGGGTGACCACATGTCAAGTTATATCAATATCGAAAAAACTCAGAATTCCGACTGCCAACAGAAACACGGAGGCGTCCTGTAGAGACTCTCAGAAACATATTCAACATATTCTGTAAGTTTCTATCCATTAGTTACCCGTAACAGACCTTTAGTTCAATTCAGCTGAACGGCAATTTCGATTTCAAATCTTTTTTTAAAATAATTTTTAACTTAAAAGCGGCTTGGGCACGCCGTGGCAAAACTTAATAGTCACTGGCCGAGTGCGAGCAA